TATTTAACAGGAAATATTTGTTTCAATCATAGCTATTACATGTATCATGACAAGCAAGAATTAAATCATTTACTTGATGATATTCACCTCAGTTTGTCTACATCCAGTAGATATTTACTAGGTATTATATGTTTCAGTGTAATGTGTGATTATGACACAGCCAGTTCGTATTTATTTATTTATTTAAGGTATTTTTCCCCCAAGAGAGTGATGCATTTAATGGCATCCATTCATGGATGTTTTCAATTTTGCTAATTCAGTATTGAGTAAATATATATATGTTTCTGCCATTACAACTCATATTCTATAACACTCAACTCATAAAAATGTAATAGTCTTCTTTTCCTAATACAGTATTAACTCAAGCTAATAACTTGTGCTGCACTAATTAAAACCTGCTCTCTTGGCTGCCTTTGTCTCAATAAGCAGGTGCGTTCCTCTCTCAGCCTTATGCAAAGCCGTGAGCAGGTGTGAGAGCAGGGCAGGTAAAATCATTTGTAATGCGTAAAGTCTGCCCCTTCCCCACTCTGACAACACATATCTCCCTCCCTCATGACTACCTCTAATATATTTAGCGAAGGTGAGAGCGCGTCAACATATGGCTGAGAACAACAACATTTTCTCATTAATAATATGGAGGTGACTTACAAAGGTGGGAGTCTGAAAACTGTTTTTATTACCCGAGGGCATATGGTGTAACATTTGTGTCTTCTTTTTTTTAAACATAGGTAAATTTATCAGGAACCTTACGTTGACACATTTTACCAGTCGGCTAATTGAATGATAATGTACAAGTTCTGTATTTGTTCTTTTAACTTTTGTTTTTTGAGGTCAAACCCAGTTAGAAGTTTCTGAATGTTCAATAATTATGTAATATTTGTTAATATTAATGATAATAATTCTATGTCAGCATAATGAAGGCTAGCTTCTCTGAAATGGCAACTTTATGTGAAGGAAAAAAAACATTCTTTAATATATTGTTATATTAGAAAAACCTTGTATCTCAATTTTTATTTTATTTTATTATTATTCTTTTTTTTTTTTTTACTTTATTTAAGAATACTCATTATCCTTTACGTTGTGTTGAATTTTATAACGAACGGGCCAGAAGAAACAGTCCAAAATTACTTGGAATAAAATCTTGTTGCATTGACTTCTATTCAAAGTTAAAGATATTGCCTTCTTCCGTAGAGTTACCATTTTGGAGATATGATGTTTCATTCCAATGGTGATGATATGCTAAGTTTATAATTTATGGTCCATTTCTATTGGTCAGTATGTCATGAAATGTTCACACAGGAACCTATGAGTTATAAGGTTTTGATAGGACAGTGACAATATGATGTTTTGAGAACAGTCATTCTATTTTATTCGAAAGCTAAAGAGTAAGATCTCCAGAATTCATTGAAATCAAGTCACTTTGTCATTCCGACCTTACAGAGCCTTATTCTCACTATAAGCAAGCAGTCACATAGGGCTTCTAATCCACCAGGAGACCCTGAGTATGTTGTTTGTTGTGTTTTGTTTGTTAGTTCATCCAGAGATTTTCTCTCTTTTTTTTATTTCTTGCATGCAAAATAATTAGATTGAGGTGTATGAGGTGCCCATAACTAGGATGTCGCTTAGGGTCCCCAAATGTTCAGAAATGGTCCTGCAAGTAAGAATGAAGTTCTTCCATAGCCTCTGTGCAACATACAACACAGGACCAGTGTTTACTGAATCACATGATATAAGACAGTGTGGAGTACAGTGCACTACAATTCAAACCAATGTGGGATCCAAGTGCACAGGTAGACTTGCAGGACCAGTAGTGAACTCTTAATGAGAATACATGTGATGTGTGGGGACATTTTATGTGCTTTGCAGTGAAATCCACTCCAACAAGGGCACGCGCTCACTAAAGCCAACCTTCTAATTCCTGTAGCTCATGCTTTTTTGTTTGGAGTACAATTGAAACACAAGCAAAACTAGCTAGCTTATCGGCAATATTATCATTAGCTAATAGAACTGCTTATCCCTTGCAAGAGTTAATGTTCAATGTTTAATGTTCATTTTACTCCATGTTTCATCTTCTCTGCACATGTGACACATTCTATATGCTTAATTGGAATTTTTTTTTTAGTGAAACTTTTGTTACATCCGTGGGTTAATGAAGGGCATTGTCCATCAGACAATCTGAAAAACAGCATATGGCTACTTTGAGCTCCACCTTCATTTACTTTCCACCATAATAAGTCTATATTCCTACCTATATTTAGCCCAGTGTTTCTTATGATCGCCCCAGATGTTCTCGTTATGAGATCACATGCGGATCCACGAGCAAAAGTAGGTTCCAATCTCAGTTCACTAGATACAAAACAATAAATACACAGTATGAGACAGATATGACATGATAGGATGATAGGAACCCAATTACATCATTATAGAATTGAGTATCTCTTTAGAAGAGTGAATTTAATACAGTGGGCTTTAGAGAGTAAAGCCATCATAAGAAAAGTTGTCCCCTGTGTGTGATTCTGAAGCTCTGCTGCTGAATGGAGCTCCACAGAGGCCAGAGAGAAGCAGTGCACACTCCAATAATCCCGAGCCAGAAAAAACCCTCCATATTTCTCACATTTTTTAGCTCAGATATTGATTTCCATCTTTTTCCCATCCTTTCATTCTTAAGAAATTCTTTAGTTTGACTTCTCAGACTAGGATTTTGACTTAAGCCACAGCCACGGCAGACTTTCAAATCCAGGCACTGTATCCACACACACACACACACGCACACGCACACACACACACACACACACACGCACACACACACAGTCGTCTTACGTCAAATAAAGTAAAACTCTTACTTCTCCACATCCTGCATACTTTTCACCTTATATTCATCATATTCAGACATGACTGAGTCAATTAGGATAGATTCAGTAACCACATAGTTTAAGCCGCACACAATCCGATCGTTGTCTCTTTCAGACTGAGTATTTGCTGGTTACCCTTGGCAACATCATTAGGAGTGTATTTTCAATAATTAATCATTCCGATTTTTAATATTTTCTCCGGCTCTCCTCTTTTCCACGTGTCCTATAATTGTCTTCCTCTGGAGCCCAGTGTGTACCTGTCCAGAGTATTATGTGTTTACTCAGCTGCAGTGACTCCACTGTCCTCCCTCAGCCTGAGAGAACAGCCCCCAAATATTTCATTTCCCAAGTAAAACACACACACACACACACACACACACACACACACACACACACACACACACACACACACACAGTGATGAATGGGCAATCAGGCTGATTAACTCATTATTACAGGGCAGGGGATCCTCCGTAGGAAATGGTGTATGTGACTGGTGGATGACTGTTTATGTCCCTCACCCACAGCTGGACGAGAGACAGACAGAGAGAGAGCGGGAGAGAGAGAGAAAAGAGCTCCACACAATCATCCCATGGATCTTTACCAATATGTGAAAATGAAACACATATAGTTGGGTATTATAATGTTATTTATTTATTTATTTATTTATTTATGGTGGTAATGGTGATGATGATCATTATTACTGTTATTACTCTAAAAATAATACCAACACTACTTAATATATAGAACAATTACAATAAACATTTATACAATAATTACAATTATAATTGGAGAGTTTCATACCAAAATGCTGTACATAACAGTTTTGGATAAGACAAGTTTTTGAAAAAAAAAAAATATCAGCTGATGTATAATGGACAACACATTTTTATTTCTCTAATGGAAGCAGTATTAATGATAATATAACATTGATATTTCCTGTATGAATTGAAATAAATATGATAGTTGTTTATAGTTATTTACAAAAATTGTCACTGATTTTTAACAATTCAAAATTGTGAGGCAGCCAGGTTACTTACTTTGTTAAGTTTATTAGGTAATTATCGATCTTTATTATTATTATTATTATTATTATTATTAGTAGTAGTAGTAGTAGTAATATTGTTATTTTAATATGATGTTGCAATGATGTAATGTATGGGAATACTGGACTCAATACAGTCATTCTAAGAAAACTTGAACTGAACAGAGAGAGAGAGAGAGAGAGTGAGAGAGAGTGAGAGAGAGAGAGGGAGAGAGAGAGAGAGTGAGAGAGGGAGAGAGAGAGAGAGAGTGAGAGAGAGAGAGAGAGAGAGAGAGAGAGAGAGAGAGAGAGAGAGAGAGAGTAGTAATATGAACTTGTACAGTGTGTAATTGTGGAGCCCGTCTGTGTGCAGAGCTGTTGGAGCAGCAAGGGAAATGTCACTGAGTTGAGTCACTCTGCAGACCTTTCCGTTCTTCTCCTCTTTCGCTCTGTTTATACACTCTTTCGCTCAGGTCTAACTGGCCAAATCATCTCCTCACTCCATTGTCTGTCTGTCCGCTTCTCTCTCTCTCTCTCTCTCTCTCTCTCTCTCTCTCTCTTTATATGTCCCTTTCTTTCTTTTTTTCTTTCTTTCTTCTCACGCTCTCTTTTTATTCCTATATATCTTTCTTTCTTCTTAATTTCTCTCTTTTTCAGTCTCTGCCTCTCTATCTCTCTCTCCCTATCTCTCTCTCTCACTCACTCTCTCTCTCTTCATCTCTTTCAATCTCTCTGTCTCTCTCTTTCCTCTCTATTTCTCCCTCTGTCTTCTTTAGTCTTTATCCCTCTTTTTTCTCAATTTCTCTTGTCTTTTTCTCTCTCATTCTTTCTCTCTGTCTCTATTCTTCTCTTTCTTCCTCAGTCTTTCCCTTTCTTTCTTTCTTTCTTTCTTTCTTTCTTTCTTTCTTTCTTTCTTTCTTTCTTTCTTCTGTCTGTCTCTCTCTCTCTCTCTCTCTCTCCACCAGAAGGTGGAGCTGCTGCATCTTATCAGTGGAGATGTAGGAGACACAGGGACAAAAAAAGTGTGTGTTCTTCACCATCTCTCTCTCTCTCTCTCTCTCTCTCTCTCACACACACACACACACACACACACACACACACACACACACACACACACACACTGTACTATCTCTTCAAAAAAGAGAGAGAGAGAGAAAAGTAAAAAGCTGGAGTTTACTTCCTGACTGGAGGCGAGTGTTTGTTGAAATAAGTGGAGATTTCCTGCACGTCTTTAGGAAAGGATGAGGTGAAAGTTTGGTGGGGGGGCAGAATGTGGTGGACTTGTTGAGCTTTGGTGTGATTTGGGGCCTTTCTCTCTCTTTCTGCTTGCTTCTTCTGGTCTCTCAGGTAGCTGTGTGTGATCGCTGCGAATGCAGTGGAGCTTTAGGCTGATTCACTGCTGAGGAGTTTGTGCGCTGGAGATAAAGCTGGAGCTGGATCAGACAGCGTGCGCAGGGCTGGCAGCGTCTGCCATGCAAGTAAGAGCACAGTTTATATATTCAGCAGAGGCTGTGGGTGTTTGTCAGTTTGTGTGGACGTGTGTTACTGTGTGTGTGTATGTCTGTGTGTATCTGTGTGTGAGCCTGTGTGTGAGTCTGCGTGTGTGTGTGTGTGTGTATGTGTGTGTGTGCATGTGTGTGTGAGTAAGAGACAGAGATAGAGAGAGAGAAAGAGAGAGAGGAGGATTCAGCTTGAGGCCTACTGTCAATAACACAGTTATAATCGCATGATCTGTTTATAATCGCAATTTTTAAAGTAGATTACTTTTATATTTATTTGATGATGAGGATGATAAGGATGATAACAACGATGACGATTGTTATTATTATTATTATTATTATTATTATTATTATTATTATTACCTTATTTCCCAGGCATATTACATCCTAAGATGCTTATTAATGTGTAACTACATAGATAACTATGCAAACTGACTGAGTTAATCTCAAGTTATTGAAGTGTTTAATAGGTTTGGACCCATTGGCAGGACCTGGCCTTTTTTAAGGTTCATAGTTATATGAATACTTTTAATCTATTTAATAATAATAATAATAATAATAATAATAATAATAATAATAATAATAATAACAATAATAATAATAATAATAATAATAATAATAATAATGCATTATTTTCACTCTGAAAACACCACTTTTAAGCCTGTTTAACATTATTATTAGTATTAGTATTATTATTATTATTATTATTATTATTATTATTATTATTATTATTATTATTATGCCATTTATGTATTTGTTTACAGGCTTTTAGATGTGTGAATGGGGGTGTTTGGGGAACACTAGAAACATGTTTAGAGGAAACGCACACATACACACAAACACACACACACACACACACACACACACAAATGCTTTAATATATTTGTACGTTTATTTTCACTATTAACTCAATACTACTACTACTACTACTACTACTACTAATAATAATAATAATAATAATAATAATACTAGTAGTACTAGAATGTATTTATGGATCAGATTCTCATATGTTCTATGGCTGGTTGTTTGAATCTTGAGTCACTTTTATATTTGAAATGCAATATAACATTATATTATATGTTAAATTTTAAAGTAAGTTTTGTTCATTTGTCTAATCTGGCTGTATTTCAGAATATGCTGATTGCCAGGCCATGTGTGTTGTAAGCTCCTGCTTTAAGCTCCTGCCCCACTTTTCCTCTAAACTGCACCATCTACAAGACTGTGTCTGTCAGAAACACACATGCAGTTGTCTTTGCTTTTAAACCATAGAAGGCGTAGCGTATTCTCTAGGTCGAGGCTGATGACTGTCAACAAGCTGTTAAATCTGTGTCAGCGAACATGTCCATGTTTGCCAGGGTGGACGATATCCTCTGAACAGCGTAATTTTATCGTCGAGCCCGTTAACAGATGGCTGCCCCAGTTTTCCATACGTTAATTGAGGGAGATTTCTAAATTTGACTCGTCCATTATTCGCAGTGTAAATGGTGTAATTTTCCTCTTGTAAACTGTGTGTTCAGGTGTGTCGGCTGTTCCAGCGGACCCCTCGCTCGCACACACACTCGAGGCTGCTTGTTCAACAGCCCTCCACGTCTTTGAGTTCGCTCTTCTGTTTGGCGTAGGATGTCACAAGCCTCCTGTCATGAGTTTTCCATCTAAATTAACTCATATATCAAATTCCAGGAGCATATTAAATCTGGGGGAAGTCTCTGGTCAGTAAAGAGTAATCCAATTGCCTGATGGGAGGAGAATGAGGAGGCTGAAGAGAGCGAGAGAGGCAGTGGGCCTGTCTGAGTGACCTTTGACCCTGACACGAGCTGAGCTCTTGGCTATATGTTGGAGATGAGCAGCTTATCTGCTCACACACACACACACTCACTCACCCACACTCACTCACATACGCTGACCAGCAGTGGCCAGAGTGTGTGAGGAGCCTAAGAGAGAAACCATCAAATTATCGAGCTACATCACATTATACTTTAATACTTGTAAGAGTGCTGGGATCAATTCTGAACACGCTTAATAATGATATTATCATTGTTAAAAAAATAGATATTTGTATTTTTATTTTTCTACATCATATGAACATGGCAGCAGTCATTTACATTGTGTGAATATTTCATGATAAATGTAGCAATACAAATACTCCAAAACAGCTTGGAATAACATCTCTTTACATTAACTTACATTGAAAGGTATGAATGTTTTTGTTGTTACCATTTTTGAGATGCCGATTTTTTTTTTTTGGACAGTGATAATATTCTTGATCTTAATTAGTTCTTATTTAACGACATAAGGCCAGCTTTGACATATGAAGTCTCAGACTAATAGTTAAATGGAAAAATCACTTACCAGCGCAAACATTTCCCAGAAAACTGACCCAACTTTGGTAGATTAACTGAGAACTTTGTAGCTCTGCGCTGTAAATATAGTTTGTCAGTTCAACTTGAAAACACTACTTCATGAGGTAAAAGGCAATTTCACTGCCCTTATTCCACTCAAATAAACACATTAAATGGAACAATGCAAACCAAATTTTCAATTTAGATGAACAAAAGCACATTTTACATCAATTCAAACCTCAATAAAACACTTCAAATCAACTTTTCCACCTTTTTACAATGGGTTAAAGCTGATTTCCACCTGAGAACTTATATAGATTTTTATTTTCATTTTATTTCAGTCTTCTTCAGTCATTTTTTAGAGATACTAATCAGTGACATGGTTGACATAATGTTTTAAAAATATTTTACATAAATACTTCGATTTTGCAATTTTTGAAATTAAACCTGCAGCAGATTTTTAAGAAAATGTCATTGCATCCACTAATTTCATGCCAGAGTGGTAGTGCTCACAAAAAAGATTCTTATATCAATAAACAACTTCTAAAATGTGCTTTATACATAAGTAATATAATATAATATAATATAATATAATATAATATAAAGTAATATAAGTTATATAACATTGCCCTTCATTAACCTTTCGCTGTTAAACAAAAGCCACAGGACTGCATTAATCCTATAAAATCTAAAGAACGCACAAGAAGATTTGACTTTAGTTACCATTGTTGTATATATTTAGATTGTGAAGTAAATCTAAATTGACTTCTTTACTTGAAACCTATGTGACCTCATTTGAACCACGAACTTGCCTTCAGCTCGGTGCTCTTGCTCCCTCTCACAGCTTCAAGCTTACTTTATTACAAACTAATATTTGATGACATATTTATTATACTTGGAGGAGCAGAAAATTTAGGCCATGCTACAAAGCTAAAGTTTATAAAACATGTATTTACTTCTTTTTTTTTTACTGCACTTTTATCACTATATCTATTATTAAATGAAAGTTTTTTCTGCATCAGGGAAAAAATCTAACTTAAGATGGAAGAACTAAATATAATACTTAAGACTTGCTTTCAGAGCTTTAAAGATATCTGCAGAGATGTTTTTTCCACACCTACAAAGTTCAGTCGTAGAAGTTAGCTGCTTTTTCATTCCTATGCATACATTCAGGTTAATCTCTGGGATGGTCAGTCAATTGTTCTGAGAACACCAGCAGCTTCTTTTTGGATTTACAAATTTCCTTCTTTTTGGTCTGTTTTGCTCTTTTTCCTTTTCTCAGTAAAAACCCTTGACAGATACACATTCTTTCAGGCCCATAGCATAGTCCTCCCACAGTGGAAGGATGGACAGAAACACCTGTGGATGGTTTCAGATTTTAAGCAAGAGTTTACCTTGATTTTCTCCTCTCTAAAAATGAAAGCTTTAGAGAACTGTTTACCTAATATTGACAGTTATGGTGGTCTACCAAGTCTTGGCTGTTAGGAGTCCCATTTTCTCTATATCTGTGTCTCTTTTAATATATTTATTTTTTTTAATTTTCGTGCCAAAAAATCCCTGATTTCTTGTCTTGTTTTCCTTTCTTATGTAGATCTTATATCTAATCTACTCAGAAATATCTCCTAAAAAGGAATAATTCGAACTTTATGGTCGTTTTGACTGGAAATTAAAACGGGTGAAGGGTGGTCTCTGACTTTTGCACAGTATTGTACAGTATTGTACAATGCTACAATCCTAAAATGTATAATAAATCAGGTCTATTTAGTCTAATTTCTACATGTAAATGGCAAATGTGCATGTATTGGCATAAGAATTGGTATCAACAGATATGAGTCATCAGCCTCGAATTCCCAAATCCCTATATCCCTAATACTACTACTAATAGTAATAATAACAACAACAACTAAGAAAAATGCTAACACAAAATTAGGGCTCCAGCTTTAAGTGCTTGGACCCCTAAATATAACAACATGGTTTGGGTACTAGGTTCGTATTGCATCTGGGGTACTAATATAGTTAATCACTGGAACATTGAATTTGATTTTAGAAGCACAATGCACAGCTGCCTGTTGAAGAGTGCTGAGGTTTTCTCTCCATGCGTAACAAGATAGATAGCTTAATAACATTCCTCTGAGTGTTTGTGTGAGCATGTGTGCACTTAGGTCTTTAGTCATAGTGCAAAATATTTAGCATTGAATATGAGACCTATGAGCATATAAACTATATTTCACTAGACTATGATATTACACTTCTGCATGACCACACAAAGTTGCTATTGCAACTACTGTTCTTACTTTAGAATTGAAGCATTCTGCCCATTAACTACCTATGGGGTCTTATTTTAATGTGACCTGTCTGCAGTGTCTGCTTTTCAAATTAGCATTAGCCTATCATTCTCCATTGCTATCGCGTCGTGAGGTTGACATGGTAATTGTTTGCGACCACCGTACCATAGAATACTAGCTCTTTAAATATCATGTGATATTTATTTGAGAGACTAAAATTTCAGGCCGAACGTCAAATAAACACAGGTTCTCTCTACCTTCACCACTTTATTTGGAACAGAATATGGTTGGGGTGTGCGTTTCATTTCACTGCCCTAGTCTGCTTTACATTTAGCCTCCTGTTTGTGTATGGCTT